AGGGAAAGTTCTCAGTCTGCATTATAAGAAGGACAGCCAGATATCAACTGTTACAGAAATGAAATAAGACGGAAAATTTTAACACTGTTTAAACTATTTTCTTAAAGAGACTTCCTCCTCCACTGCCAGAGATCTTGAATAGTCTCCTGGTCAGTCATCTGGAAATAATTCTTCATGTAATTGATAAACTTGGCTTCTACTTTGGGAAGAGAACCACATGTTTTTCTACCTGTGTGCATTTTTGCTTTAATGTCATCTACAGAATTAGGTCCTTTTGGTGTCTTAGGAGTTTTTCCCTGTTTTTGTTTGTTTGTTTTTTATGATTATTGACCATTTGATCTTTTTATTTCCTTTTCTTTTCTTGGAGAGGTTTTTGCTACAGGGCATGTATGCTCGCCAGAAAGACAGAGAGAGACATAAAGACAAGAAGCGAGAAATCACCCCCCAGGGGGGATGGCCATGCCACAATCCCTTCTCCTCCTTTCTCCTCTCGGGATCTTGGGTGCTCATGCACATGTGCCCAGCATGAATTTAAGCCATCGGGTCCGGGACTCGAACTGTGGTCAGCTACGTGGGAGTCCAGCAACATAGCCATTAAATTAACTGCTGGTCCTGACCACTTGATCTTGATGTTGATGGTTTTGAGTCTTTTCTATTCTGGTTTGATTTTTGAGCATTTTTGCCAGGGATATCTCATACAGATTTCTTCACTGGAGCTTTTCCTTCTGTTTCCTCATCTTCAACATCATTATCTTTGTCATCGTCATCATCTTCATCAGCAGCAAATTTTATTTTTTTCTGTGGAATCTTGCTGCCACTTCCAGGGACATATCACTTTCCAGATATACTTAGCGAGTTTCACATCCTCCTCCTCTTTTTTTTTTTTATGAAAGGTTTTGCTATAGGGTGCATGTGCTTGCCAGAAAGACAGAGACAGAGGGACAGAAAGCAAGAAATCACTCCCCAGGAGGGATAGCCACGCCACAATCACTTCTCCTCCATTCTCCTCTGGGGATCTTGGGTACGCACGCACATGTGCCCAGTGTGAGTTTAAGCCACTGGGTCTGGGACTTTAACTGCAGTCGACTACATGGGAGTCCAGCGACATAACCATTATGCCACCTGCTGGGCCCGTCAGCCTCCTCTTCTTCTGACTCTTCATCTTCCTCTAGAGCTAAGTGCTGTCCACTAACATGTACAGGCCCTGAACCATACTTCCACCGTGAGACCACAGGTGGTATTATTTCAAAGCTCCCAAAGGAAATTGTTGTCTGTACAGATATTTTCGGTGTTGCCAGTGTTACTTTAATTGGACTGCCTTCATAAGTCATTACTTCTGCTTCAACAATTGTAATTCATCCTTTGCATCAGCCCCTAAACTGACCATTCTTAAAGATAACTGGTGTTCATTTTCATCATTATCCACTTTAAAGCGATAATCTTTGTTGGCCTTTAGTTCACAACTGAAAAGATAGTACTGGGGCCTCAGAGGGCTCATGTCCACATCCATTGAATTTTCTATGGGGTGGTGGTACGCACTTAGGTGGAGAAGGCAGATGGAGGTAAACGACTATGACTCCTGAACAGCCACGCAGGACAGAATCACTTCAGGCCCTTACTTTACTTTTTAATGTTGATGGTTAAGAGTACCTGTGTAGGAACTAGCAGATGACATAATGGTTATGCCGCTGGCCTGACCACGGTTTGAATCCTGGACCTGGAGCTTGATACTCATGCCTGGCATGTGTGTATGATGTCCAAAATCCTGAGAGGAGTATGAATGAGAATGGATTGTGGCATGGCCCATCCTCCTTGGGGGGTGATTTTTTGCTTTCTGTCTCTCTGTCTCTTTCTGTGTCTCTCCAGCAAGTGCACATACCCTATAGCAAAATCTCTCTAAAAAAATAAAAAGTATATATATGTTCTGTTTGTATTGGGTTATCAGAAAAGTCATGACACATTTTTGCATAGCAAAATACCATGATTTTTCCAACAACCCAATATATAAATAGGTAGATAGATATATGCATATATGTGTATACGGGTACATGTCATTATAGCTCTGTTACATTTATGTGTACATACTTAAAGACATCTTATTTTATATATATACCTGTTATATCTATGTATATGTGTGTGTGTGCTCATCTAGCTGCTGTAACTGACCTAAAGGTAGAAGAATCCCATGATTTTTTAGGTCACTTCATTATTTTAACTGTGTATAGTTTATTCTAATCTCTAGACGGTATCAATAAATTTGTGGATTTTCTATGTTTGAGAATTTACTTCAAAAGTTCAGAAACTGTAGACCAAATACATGTTTCAGTTGATTAATTTCATTAACTAGAACTTTTTAAGAACTTGTATATTTTAATTATAGATCTTTGAACCAATTGTGCTTTGATCAGCACGATGATCCATGAATCTTCTGAGGACTTTCTTTTAAATTATTCCTGAATTTTAAAAAGTATGTTTCATTATAATGTTATATTTTTAATTTACAAGTATCTTCATGTAATTTTCTTCTAGTTCAGGCCCCTGAAGCTCATCCAGAAATTCTGGCAACTCATGCTAGTTCTAAAAATACACACGACTGGAAAAAAATGTCAAGCAGAAAACAAAATAGTCATCATAATGAAGCTGATGAAGAATTTTACTTATCTGTTGGCTCGCCTTCTGTTTTTTTGGATGCAAAAACATCTGTATCAGAAAATGCTATTTCATCTATTGCCAAAAAGAGAGAGACTTACACTTTAAAAAATTCAGTAAATACACTTTCTTCAAGTGCAGAGATTTCTCTGAAACCCAAAAAAAGGTAATCTTTTATCTAAACAATATTAATGCTACTTTAAAACTCTTACCTTTTATATTAAAAAATAGTAATTTAGTATTTTTATATGGTTTTGTTGCAAGGATTAAGGAACATTATGCTATTGAAAAATATATTAAATAACAAAGGAACTTCAAAAGGGGCTAGACAGTGGTGCAGCTTACATAGTAAGGTCCTGGGTTCATGTCTTGGGGCCTCTTTGTACATTCCAGGTGTGTATGTATGTGTGTGTGTGTGTGTGTTTATGTGTGTGTGTGTATATCCCTTCAATGTGGACTGATTGAGGCTGGAGGTAAATCATGGCACAAGGATCCTATTGAAGGTATCTATCTCTCTTTCCCTTGCTCTTTTTGTCTCATGGAAGAAATAAATTAATACACTTTAAAAACTTGGAGGAAAATGGAATTTAAGAATGAAGTTGTTTTTGTGGAAAAAATTTTTGATATTTGTGCAGTTTATGATGTTTCTGCATTTTTCATGAACTTTTTAAAGACCCCTTGTATATTAACCCCTTTATAATTAACAGGAAGGCATTCAAGTGTGCTTCAGATTTGGGGTGTTAACTTTTCTCATTTGTGAATAGATTTTTTTTTGTTCTGATAGAAAGTTTTCTATAACTTCCTAGGAGAAACAGTTTATATTTCCCCCATGTTATATGTAATTGCAAGAGTAGGTGTGTATTAGGTCATTTATGCGGCAGCAAAGCGTAACTATTATTGAGGTTTGAATTGTGGTAAACCCTGTTTCATTTCATGGCCCTTTCCCTTTGGCCTTCAAGAAACAAAGCAGATTGTTCAAGGTCCTTTGTACTGGAGATTTTTGCAACAAGTATAATTTCCATCTAGAGCCTTAATGTGATATCTGGAACCAAGGAATTGAGTGTATTCTAGACTTTGCTATTCAGAATGTGGTCTGCCCCAGTGCTCAGAGAAGAGAGAGATTTACATTTTTGAAAATTCAGGTGTTCTCTAACCTAGACATTTCTTGGCATTTAATTTTTTTTTTTTCTGTTGCTATAGGACATATACCCTTGCCAGAGAGAGAACAGAAAGAGGGAGAGAAAGCACGTGTGCCTACATGACTGGCCATGTGGGAATCTGGTTCCTTAATCACCAGGCTCAGTACAGAATTTTATAAGTGGTCTATATCACTTTAAGAGAATTCAAAAAGACTCATAATTCAGCAAACATAGGGTAGTTGTTCAACTTACGTTCTTTTTATCCTTTTAGGTTGAACTTTGAAGATAAAGATGTTTTGAAGAAAGTAGAAATAGAGAATAAAATATCTGAAGTAGATAAAATATCAGAACAACCAGAAAGGAAACTCTCAGTAACATCCCAGGAAAGACTGCAAGACTCAGAACATGAAATTCAGCCACAAGCTAAAAAGAGTTTTTCAACATTGTTTTTAGAAACTGTAAAAAGAAAAGGTGAATCCAGGTGAGTTATGATGAAACTGTCCTTTGAGGCATTTTTTCTTTTATAGCCTATGAACCATTTCTAAGGATTTCTGGGGTTACTTAACTCATAAATAAATCCTTTTTTTTTTTTTTTTTTGAGAGGTTTTTCGCTATAGGGCACGTGTGCTCACCAGAAAGAGAGGGAGAGAAAGGAAGAAATCACCCCTCAAAGGGGGATAGCCATGCCGCAATCCCTTCTCCTCCATTCTCCTCTCGGGTTCTTAGGCACACACGCGTCTGGCGTGAGTTTAAGCCACCAGGTCTGGGACTCAAACCGCGGTGGACTACATGAGAGTCCAGCAACATAGCCATTATATCACCTGCTGGTCCCAGAAATAAATCTTTTAAAGATTTTACCTGGCCTGTAAAGGTGAGGTAGTTTCTTACTAGTAAATCACCCCAGAGCCATCCTTCAATGGATATAAATTAGATGTGAAAGAAAATGAGTTTATTTAGTTCTTACTGCTTCTGCCTGTCAGTGCATTTAGCTCTTCTATATGATGCCAAGTAATTAAGGCAGTAATTTGATATATTGGGTTGTTGAAAAAGTTATGATGCATTTTTGCATAGAAAAATATGTCATGACTTTTCCAACAACTAATAGAATTATGTAAATGTGCCTGTATTTTACTATCATATGTTTAAATGTTTTTTCTGATTTCATCAAAAAAGTTATAGTTCTAAAATGTTAATATGCTCTGGCCTATTTAAAAACTTCTATTGGTGCTGTAGTAACCATACAGTGATTTTTCTGTCCCTGGCTGCATGGTAGAGTTACCTAGATTCAGCACTAGCCAGGATTGAGAACCACTAGTAAACTACAGATTTCTCAACTGACATTTAAGGGCTTTACTCTCCCTTGTCAAATGTTTCTACCCACTTGGTCATAGACATTTACACTTATTTCTTGGCATTTGCCAGTCTTCATTTTCTTTTAAGGTCCACACTAGGCTTATAGGTTTTTCTAAGTTCCACTTCAGTGTTTTTTAAGTAGCTTCATGCCTCATTGTTCTGCTGTTTTTTATATGTCTTAGTGGATTAACACCTAAGTCCTGTAAGGGTTTAGTTTTCTTCTAGATCCTGTGATATTAGAGTATTAATGAATATGTTAGGAAATTGTTTTGTGTGTTCTTTTTCTTAACCACCAGAAAGCATGCATATTTGCCAGTTAGAGAGTGTGTGTAGGAAATAATGATAATATTTATAATTTAGGCTTTCTTTGTTTTACCAAGACAAATGAGTTTTGGGGTTAGGGGTTTGTAGAAAGAGGGCTAGAGTGGGGAAACATTATTTGACCTTCTATGATTCTATGGCATTGCATGTTTTGTCATAAGTTTTCCCCTGTTTCTTTGGCACTAGATGTCTTCTGTGCTTTTGCTGCCATTCTAGGTATACTCCATTTATTTTATACCATACTGATAATATTTTAAAATTATGTATATATATGTAAAATATTCAAACTTAAAATGGGTTTTTATATAATATTTTTACATAATAGTAATATTAATTAATTTTTTAAAATTTTGCCGGAAGGCACATTTGTTTGCCTGAGAAAGACAGGGAGAGGGAGAACTATCACCCTGGGGGGCATGCATGCCACAGTCCTTTTTCTTCCATTTCTTCATCCTGTCTGAAGTTTGGGTGTGCATCCCAAAATATGAACTTGTGTTTCTCAAGACAGTCAATATTCAAACCACAGAGTTGGCCATGTGGGAACTGGCTCCGTTAACCAACAGGCCATGAGGCCAGTCCTAGTGACGTTAGTAATTTTTATAATCGGTACTTCTGTGTATGAAGTCCTATGAAGTATTAAAAAAAAAAAAGATTAGAAGACATCACTCCTGATCTCTTACAATTTTAATAGTATTCTTTTAGAATATTAGACTTGGAGATTTCTTAGAAATTATCTTGTCTACCCTTATGTTGGATATGAAGAAATTCAGGCTCCAAAAGATATCTGTGCAAACAAATAAGATGAATATGTGTAACTGTGAAGCAGTTTATTTGGGTTATAATTATACATCTCTGGTTTTCAGTTTTTTTAGTATATATAAGAGAGAAGGATCAAATTAGTTGACATCTAGGCTTCTATGATTCCTTAAGTGTTATAAATGGAGATGATTAGATAGAAAAATGTGTGAGTTGGGACAGAGATTCTCTTGGTATTACTGATCAGGAGACATATGAACTGCTCTTTTAAAAAAATATGTAGATTTTATTTCCTGTAGAGATTATTTTCTTAAAAAGAGTAAAATCTTCATATTTTTGAGCTATTAAAGTAGTATCCTGTTTTAGTCCCATTGTTAGGCATATAGCACCTGCTCCAACTCATTCATCTTCTCCAAGTGATCTGAAGTTGTTAGAGGATGAATTTATAATTGATGGGTCAGAGAGAAGTTTTGCTAGTCGATCTTGGATTACGATACCAAGAAAGGCAGGGCATCTGAATCAACGCCCAGTATCCCCTGCTGAGAACCCTGCACCTCTTCAAGCTAAGAAGTCAAGAGAAAAACATCATAGTGTACTACCTGAGACTTTGACTAATGGTATACATTCACATGGAGCTCACCCAGTAGAGAAATCTCAGCCCTCTGATCAAGAAAATCTCTGTACAAATTGTGCTTTAACAGATGAAATGGAAAATAGTTGTAGATCTACAAAATATAAAATGTGTTCTGAGAATGCAGAAAAATCACCCGGAAACAAAAGGACTGTAAAACAAAAACAAAGAACAAAATCGAAGGACAGTATAGACAAAGATCAGCTTGATGTAGGACAATCCAAAGATGGAAATATGTCACATATTGCCCAAAAGAAGTTACAAAGAAATTCAGATAGAAATACAGAAGAGTGTGAAGAGAAGAGAAATAATCGTATTTCAAAAAAACAGATGCCATCTATGGGTAAGTGTTTATATTAACTATGACTATTCTACCACTTCCTTTGGGGGAGGGGAGGTTTTTGCTATAGGGTGCGTGCGCTTGCCAGAAAGACAGACAGAGAGACAGAAAGCAAGAAATCAACCCCCCACAAGGGGGGATGGCCACACCACAATTCCTTCTCCATTCTCCTCTCGGGATCTTGTGCATGCACGCACACACACCTGGCATGAGTTTAAGCCACTGGGTCCAGGATTCGAACCATGGTCGACTACATGGGAGTCCAGCGACACAGCCATTACGCTAACTGCTGCTCCCGTCCACCATTTACTTTTTAAAATATTCCTGCTTCTCTTTAGGAAAGCGGCATAGTAGTAAACCTAATCTACAAAAAGTCTACAGACTCTTTGCTAGAATCTCTTTATTTTATATGTAGTTCAATTCTGATTCATTTGATTTTTGTTTAGTTTCTAAAATGGTAGCATATGTACTTGGAGAAGTTAAAGGGAAAGATCAGTAAACAGGTTAGTTACTAGAAAGTGAATAACTCAGAATCATAAATTCTTTATGGTTCCTAAAATATAAATTGAAGGGAAAAAATCCAGGACAGTGTGGGGCTATTATACAGATGGAAACACTATACTCTTGTCATTCACTCATCAAATGTTAAGAGCCTGTACTAGGAACTGAAATCACAAAAATTGATGAGTGAATGAGCAAGTGTCCTGCCACAGTGGCACTAGCAGGAGGGTGCAGCTCTGTGTTGACTGGGGCCACATGAAAGGCCTGTATTAGTTCCCCTGACCCAACCTAAAAAAATAGGTTTGGTGTAGTTGTGCACCTGTGTGGTCCTGTCTAACTAGAAGGCCAGAGCAGGAGGACGGCAATAAAACTCTGTCATAGATACCTATGTCTTTCTCATTAAAAAAAAAAAAAAAAAAAGTGCGTGTGAGGGACAAAAAGAAGACCATGGGATCAATTTAAAAGTTACTGTAACTGAGAATTTTGTTGTTGTTTTTTAAAGATGTTGTGGTTCTCTAAAAGGTCTGGTTCAATGGACTATGAATTGTATTTATGTTTTTCTTTATTTTAGGAAGCAAAAATAGCACCAAAAAAGATAAAGAAGAATCTAAGAAGAAACGATTTTCTAGTGGATCCAAGAACAAAGTTGAACCCGAAGGAGTCACTTTGACTGTCACAAGAAGTAGAAGAATTTCCAGGTGTCCATCTGATTGGTGGGTGGTAAAATCAGAGCAGAGTAAGTGTTGTTATTTAAATAATGTTTATTAAGAGCTCCTTAAAAATCATTTGGTAAGGGGCTTTGTTTGATTTACATTCCCATTATGCAGAGGACCTAATTAAATTAGATTGGCAATGGAAATATTAAACTAGTTATAGAGGAATTACTTCATATTATAACATATACAGTATTCTAAATTTAGGACTATATTTATCAAAAACAAAGTCATAAACCAAAAGTCTCTGCTCTCCCAGAACTTAAAGTGTATACAGGAAGACAACATAGAGAAGTATTCATGCAGTAATAGGTGTAGATAAAAGATAAAGTCGATAGGAGAGAAGGATGGGCTGTAGGTGACAGGGATATGGGGATAGACAAGGAGGATAGAGTGGGATACTATTTGTATGATAAGATCTTTAAGATCTTTCAGAGCATATATACGAATGAAAGGGATGAAGCCCATGCAGTAACTTGGGAGTAAACCATTCCAAGCCCAGGGAAAAATACTTGTAAAAGTCCTTTACAAATGGAGCATGTTTGATTGGCATGACTGAGGAATGTCAAGAAGACCAGAGTGACTGAAGAAGAGTAAGCCGGGAGAGATGAGAGTAAAGAAAAAGTAAGCCGGGAGAGGTGAAAGTCAGCCATGATAAATAATAGCTACGTAATAATGTGACATGATTGACTCAACTTTGAAAGGATCATTCTTGCTACTACGTTGAGAGTGAACAGACTGGGAAAAATGGAAACCTGTGACTAATTTTAGGGGGTTAGTAAAATGAAAAGATGAGAGTGGTTGGATTCTGGATATTTTTGAAGGTAACATAGAGGAAGTACTGTGGATTGGATCAAGAGAAAGGCATTGCTTGCTCACAGGTGTTTTGTTTTGTTTTGTTTTGTTTTGTTTTGGAAGGATTTAGTAGACCAGAGAAGGTACTGATGACTAAGAAGAGAAAAGGTGTGAGAGAAGCAGATTTGGAGAGGATATCAAGATTTCAGGCTGATGTATTTATTTTGAGATATCTCTTAGATATATTGGGTTTATTGAGCAGAGAGTTAGGGGGAAGATGTCAGAGGGAAAGATGTGAGAGAACTGAAGGTTATTCAGAAGACAGCAAAGTTAATGGACTGGCAGTCTTAGAAGGTCAAGAAGTAAGGTCAGATAGTGGGATTATTGAAACCAAAGTTATAGAAGTATTGTAGCAAGTGATCTCATGCATGACTCTGGGAAGGAGAGGCTATGGTGGGATACAGAGTAAAGATTTTAGAAGTCTTGAGTATTCAGAATATCAAGAATGTTTTCAGAGTGGTGATGCGACAAAATAAAATCTTAAATGAATGAATGTGAGTGACCAAGATAGCAGATCTGTAGAGCTAAAACTATCTGAGTATCACCCACAGAAACTCTGATAGATTTGTTCTGGAGTGGGTCTCTGCTTTTATCATTTTGGGTAACTTACAGATAGCAGAAATTATTGGTTACATTTCTGGAGACTTCAAGTCTGAGATCAAGGTAACAGCAATTCAGTGTCTGGTGAGGACTCTTTCCTTAATAGATAACACCTTCTATGTGTCCTCACCTGATGGAAGAAGCAGATTCCATTAGGCCTTTTTATAGAGGCACTAATCCATTCATGAGGACAGATCCTTCATGATTAGTCACCTCCCAAACATTTGATCTCTTCATACCATCACCTCAGAGGTTAGGTTATTTGTTGTTGTTATTGTTGTTTTAGTTTGCTATAGGGTGCATGTGCTTGCAGCCAGAAATAGAGAAGGAAAGTGATAAACCATCTTCCTGGAAGGAAGACTACACTTCAGTCCCTTCTAATCCATTCTCCTCTTGGGATTTTGGGCATGCATGCACACGTTCCTGGTGTGAGTTTTAAGCCACCAGGTCTGGGACTTGAACTGCGGTTGACTACATGGGAGTCCGTTGATGTAACTATTATGCCATCTGCCGGCCCCAACAATTTCATATTTTTAAAGTAGCCCCAGATTATTATAATTGTGCATCCAGGGCTAAAGACCAACAGTGTAGTAGAACAATTTAGAGAGGTTGGGGGAGATGAGAGAGTCATATTATGGTAGGAAGCTTGCATTTCTGTGGCAACTGAGGTAAACCATAAGTCAGCAATAATATGATTAGACTTGAGGGGAGGTATAGAGAGAACTGTGGGTTTTAAGTTTTGATGTGACCATGAGGTGTTGAGGAAAAAACAGTCTACTAAGAACACTTAGATTGCTTTGGGCATTGTTTTTTGTTTTTGTTTTTGTTTTTTTTCCATCCTTTATATAGAACTCAGTGAATGTGCTCAGGGGTATGTTAATCTAGCTGTTTGGTAGTGAGGATTAATAAAATGATTTCTTGCCACCAAGGAATGTATCATCTAGTTGACTATAGTTTCATTTATTAGGCATAAAAAGGCAAATAACTGGTGTTGGGATGCCTGAGACCACCCCCAAGTCTGGTAATTTGCTAGAAGATATTGGCCTATAGCTATATTTTTTTTTTAGGCAGAAGGATACAAAGCAAAATCAGCAGAAAAATAATATGGGCTAAGTCTGAAGAAAATCAGTGCAAACTTCAAGAATTCTTCTCCACTGGTTGCACTAGGTGCCTAATTCCACCAGCAATAAGTTAAAATAAATGTGTGAAATGTTGTCGACAAGGGAAGTTTATTAGAGACCTTTGTGCCCAAGACTTTTATTAGGGATTGTCACATAGGTGCACTCTGCCTAGCAAGTGCTAAAATTACAGACTTTCTGAAGGACAGCAAGTATTCAAGAAAACCCATACTTTTTACACTAGCAGTTTAGGCACACTAAACCATGCTTGTCAGTTGAATCAGTGGGAATCCTACTGAAATTTGAAGTCCCCAGATGCTAGTCAAGGGTTTACTTTGCAATAGGCCTTTCTAGAATAATTTTTTTGGGCCTGCCTCTCTTCTTCACAATACAAAACATTCATTGGTTTTGCAAAATTGTAATTTTTTAAAGAGCATTATTTATTTTAATTTTATTTATTATTATTCCTCAATTTGACCAGAGAGTCAGAAAGGAGGGTGAAAAAGCAAACTGCCAGTTTGGGACTCAAAACACAGTATGGGAGTCCAGCATCTTGACCACCATGTCACTTGCCATCCCCAACAATTTCATATTTTTTAAGGAGGCAATCCTAAGAAGATTATAGATGATTAGGTAACACCTTACATATGCAAATACTCTTGATTGTGGAACATTTAGATCAAGAAATGAGAAACTATACAAATAAGGCACATTTATGAGTCCTTGTTATAAATCATTGAATCATTGGGATCTGTTCTGCTGTGGCCCCTTGTAGTATTTTGGAGTCAGATCTGAGTTCAAGTTATGACTCTTCCATTATGGGTAGATTATTTAGTTTCTCATACTGTAACATGATTACGAATACCCCTACTTCATTCATGTTTGTTTTGTTTTGTTCTGTGTTCTGGCCAGAGAAAAAGAGGAATAGTGAAAGTACCCCTCAACTGGGCTTGATCATATTGTAATCCTTTTCATCCAAATCTCTGTCACTGAGCATACAGGTGTCTTATCTTTTCTCTGGTGCACCCTCTCTCCTCATGTGAAATTTTCAAGCTCCTGGACTGGGACATGAACTCCGGTAGATCATGTGGGCTTTGGCTTCTGTGCAGTACCTAACCACTGCACTGTGGGGCCAGCCCCCTCACTGAGTCTTAAAAGGATTAGGTACAGTTGGCATAGTAGTTGGCATATAGTAAGTATTAAAATTTTAACTACACAATTAGTGTTTTGTGGAACTCACTTTTCTGCCCTAGGTTGTTTGAAATGTAATGTCGTAGATGAGAGTGAAACAATATGGAGACAGGATCAATTTTCTAGAACATGAGCCTTATCAAAAAGGACTTAGAAAGTCATCAGTCCCAAGATAGATATCGATTTTTTTTTTTCCTCAGTTTACTGGAGGGTGCATGTACCTACCAGAGAGAGGGAGAAAAAAGATTGGGAGAAAGCACCCCTTGATGGGGTGTGTCGTGCTACAATCCCTTCTCCACTTTTACATTCTGTTGGGATTTTGATCATGCAGTTACACCCACCCAATGTATTTCTCCAACCACTGGAACTAGGATTTGATCCTCTAGGTTGGCAATGTGTGATCTGGCTCCCTCTACCAGTAGGCCACAGGATCAGCCGTATATGTTGCATTTTTTTTTTTTTTATTAAACTAGAAGTCACAAATGTGGAGCAATGCTTATAGATATTACAGTCTAATAAACTCCTTTTGATGGAAGAAACTGAAGTCCGAAGTCCAGAAAACCATAACTTGTCCCAAGCTGTTGTCCTTTCATATATCTGAAAAAGTATTTGAGTGCTTGTTGTGAGACAGGAATGGTGCAAGTCAGGACCCGGACAAGGGTAACACAGTAAGGAACTAGAGTGGAAAATTTAAGGAGACACTTGGTCTCAGGGTTATATAAGTACTTGCACAACCTCACAAGTAAGTACTTTCTTAAATTTTCCACAGGAGGCTACTCTCATGTTTCACCACAGTCTTGCCCTTTGTTGTTAATCATTGGGATTGTAGAGATAGGTTAAACAACAAGTCAGTACCTTTGTCCCCAGGAATTGTGAGTATCTTGGAGGGGGATAGTGATTAGCATTATCAAAGAGTTAAAAGAGCTACCCTAAGACTTGAGAATTAGGGAAAATTTCCTGAAGGTATGAATTAGGAGTGGACAAAGTGGTCTGGTGGGGTGAGAAAGACTGGAATATTTAAGCACAAATAATACATGCAGCAATCTGGAGCTCAGAACTTGGTATTCTTTTATTTTTTTAGTGTGGCCCACAATGATCTGGAGGGCTTGTTAAAACAGATTGCTGGGCCCTACTTTGTGAGTTTTTAACTCTGTAGAAATTTCAAACAAATTTCCAGATAACGCTCATCCTGCTGGTCTAGAAACTGTTTTTGAGAACCAATGTTTTCAATAAACTGGAAATAGTTCATTGCTTTGGATTTTTTTGATTCATTTGTTCTGAAAAGGAGGAATTGAGAATTGTGCTTCATAAGCAAACTCTACATGTAGAAATCAATGTTGAAAGTATTTAGACTTAGTCTTTTTTGTTTGTTTTTTTTTCTTAAGAGTTTTTTGCCTTAGGACACATAGGCAGAGAGAGAGAGACAGAGAGAGAGAGAGACAGGGATAAGTAGTGAGAGAGAAAGTGAAAATCACCACCTAGGGAGAATGGGCACACCACAATCCCTTCTCCTCCTGGGATTTTTTAAAAAATTTTTATTATTTTATTTAACTTTATTTATTTAGTTATTTATTTTAATTTGACCATAGAGGGAGTAAGCAAGAGAGAGAGAGAGGGAGGGAAAGTGAGAAAGCAAGCCGTCAGGTCTGGTACTCGAACCAAGGTCAGCCATGTGGGAGTTTGGTGCTCTTAACCACCACACCACCTGCTGTCCCCCCATCTTGAGCCTGCATGCACACACTAATGGCCTGAGTTTCAAACCACCAGGTTCAGAACTCAAGCTGTAGTCAGCCATTTGGCAGTATAGGGTCGTAACTGCTACACCATCTGCTGGCCCCTTGGACTTATCTTTAAGCTCTAGATAATCACTAAAAATTTTAAGTAGGGTTGTAATAATCCAATTTTTGTTCTTCAAAGATGATTCTTAAAGCATTGTGAAGAATGGATTGAAGAATAAGGCTAGAGGAATATTAAATTCATCTGCTAATAACAGGCCAGAGAGCTTGAAAGCTTGAAATGAGAGACGTTAGGAAAGTAGAAGTGGGGCTAACCTCGTAGCCTAGTGGTTAAGAGAGCTGGGTGTACCAGTCTACCATGGTTGGGATCCTGGCCTTGGTGGCTTGAAAAAAAACACCAGGCACGTATCCATCTTGCCCCAAATCACAACAAGATGGACAGATGGAGAAGGGATTGTTATGTGACCATGTCCCATTGGCGGATGCTTTCTCTTTCTCCCTCTTTCTCAATCTCTTCATTTCTCTGTTAAACCCATGTGCTCTGTGGCAATTCAAAAGAAAAGAAAAAAAGAAAGTAGAACTGACAGGATTTACGGATTGATTGTAGGTAGGGACAGATATCTTGAATGACTCAGATTTCTGATTTAGGTATTTGGATATGTAGTATTAATATATTTACATCATGAAACCCTTGATATTTTCCATTTAGGACACAACGTTCTTTCTGTGTTCATTAAGATAGGAAATAAAGCAGAAGAGACAGAGGAGAATGGTAGTTGGATATTATAGATACCAGCATATCAGTAATAATTAAAGTTATGTGTAGAATAGATTCCTCAAAAATAAAATGCATATCATGAAAACCTGAAGTTGGTATCTTAGGGAATACTAGGATCTTAAGGATGGCTAGAAGAGTAGTAGGCAGAGCCAGAGAGTGATTTTTTTTTTAAAAGAGGTATCTTATTTATTTTTAAAATTTGACAAGAAAGGGAGGGGAAGAAGAAGAGAGAGAGAGAGACAGCAAGCCACCAGGTCCGGGACTCGAAACTCGGCCACATGGGAGTCTAGATCCCTTAACCACCACGCCACCTGCCGACCCTAAGAGAGTGATTTTTTTTTGAAGCTTGTGATAATTTGAAAGGTCTAGGGTCTTATCTATAAATCGAAGACTTGCATTGTTCAAAGTATTTAATTTGGAAACAAATTTAGCCTATTGAGATTGATATGTGTGTGTATGTGTTTATATGTGAATGTAAATGATGTTGGTATTTCAGTGAGCCACATCTTGGGGACAAATGTTCTGCTAACTTTCACTTAACATTGACTCCTTTAGGTCCTATTTCTGCTTCATTGAGAAATGAATTATCAATGCGTCAGAACCGAAGGCAAAAACCTGCTAAGAAAACAAATCAGTCATCGAAGAAAATTAGGAAAAAAACTGTCCCATTTAAAAGGCAGAAGACAGCTACTCAAGGCAGCTCAAGGATACAGAAGTTTTTAAATGTTAATGATTCTGGAGGTATTATTGACCATGATGAAGTTTCCAGTTGTTCCCAGGATGAGCCTTTGGAAAGGGATGAGGCAGACCTGGCTAAGAAGAAAAATCTTGATTGTTCTAGGTAATGACTATTATGTATACAATATAGTTATTTTTGTTGTTCAACATTTAGTAATATGTCTATGTTATTTTAATCATTTGTAGAGGCAGTTTTAGCAAAAAAAAAAAAAAAAAAAACGGGGGGGAGGATAGGGCACTATACTCTGACAGATCTGCTATTAAATCTAGGTTCTGCCATTAATTGGATGACACTCGGGCCAAGTAGTACTCTGAGCTTGTTTCCTCATTAAATAGGAAATAATATTTAGCACATGAGATTGTAAGTATTTAATAGGCCGAATATTATTTTTGCCTTAGAGGTACTTTTTTTTTTTTAATTGTGGTTAAAAAATGTAATTTACCATCTCCATCATTTTTAAGTGTACCGTTCATGTTGTGTCCTTTTAAATGAGATTGTGTCATTTCAGTAATTAAGAATATATCTTAATAGTTTTCCTCTTAAGATGGTAATCGTTAACATTTTTTGAGTGTTTACTATGTGCAAAGTATTTGCTAGACGCATCTAATGAAACCCTTGATATTTTCCGTTTAGGATACAACATTCTTTCTGTGTTGATTAAGATTGGAAATAAAGGGAACCAGCAGTTAGCGTAATGGCTATGTCGCTGGACTCCCACGTAGTCGACCGTGGTTTGTGTCCCGGACCCGGTGGCTTAGAACTCACGCTGGGCACGTGTGCGTGCGTGCCCAAGATCCCGAGAGGAGAATGGAGGAGAAGGGATTGCGGCGTGACCATCCCCCCTGGGGGGTGATTTCTCGCTTTCTGTCTCTATGTCTCTCTCTCTCTCTGTCTGGCGAGCGCATGCACCCTATAGCGAAAACCTCTCCAAAAAAATATATAGGAAATAAAGCAGAAGAGACAGAGGAGAATGGTAGCTGGATATTATAGATACCAGCATGTCAATAATAATTAAAGTTACGGGTAGAATAGATTACTCAAAAATAAAATGTATACCATGAAAACCTGAAGTTGGTATCTTAGGGAATACTAGGATCTTAAGGATGGCTAGAAGAGTAGTAGCAGGCAGGGCCAGAGAGAGTGATTTTTTTTTTTTTAAGAGATATATCTTATTTATTTATTTTTAAAATTTGACAAGAATGAATTTTTTTCAATCCTAACAACCCATTGAGGTAAGTATTATCTTTATGCTTTCTTGCTTTTTGCTATAACTTGCATTCAACAAATATTTAGTACATTTGTGAGATAGAAATAGGTGCTAAAGGTATACTAAGATAAATGAGAGCGCTCTAAAATATACGAGTATATTTAATTATTAAAGATAATGAAATTTCATACATACTTTTATTTAACATTTTCAGACCACTCATATCTGCTTACTCTCTCTCGTTTTAATGTGTTCTTAGAATTGATTTGCTACTGTTTAGTTGAGTTGTTCTGATCCTTACTTACTTTGTGATGTCTTTGTCTATTTTTTGTAAGGATAATACTGGCTATAAAATGAGTTGGGAAATACTCTGTTACTTGTAAAGTGTTTCTTTCAAAGAGAGAGGGAGAGGAAGAAAAAGAAAACACAAGCACCCTCAACAGGGTCTCATGCTATGATCTTGCTAGTCTTTTCTAGCCAGCTAGGATTGTGCACACATATGTGCATACCTGGTGTATACAGGTCGGCCTACAAACTGGACCCTGATCTTCCATTGCTTTTTAGCTTGCCTAGCATTGCACTACCACTCTATGCCCACCACAGTTTAGCCTCTTTTGTTTTTGAAAGAGTTTGTGAATATTTGTATTAATTCTTTGAATGTTTGATGAATTCAGCAGCAGCCTCTTATGTTTTTGAAAGAGTTTGTGAATATTTCTATTCTTTTAATGTTTGATGAATTCAGCAGCAAAGCCATCTGGAGCTGAACTTTTCTTTGAGGGTTTTTTTTTTTTTTTTTTTTTTTTTTTTTTTTTTTTCTGTGGGTGGGTAGTTTCTCTCTCTCTCTTTGCCATAGAGTACATGTGCTTGCTGGAGAGAGAGAGACAGAGAGAATGAAAGTGAGAAATCACCCCCTGGGGAGGTGGCTATGCCATAATCTCCTCTCCATTCTGTTTAGAGATTCTGGGTATCCACACATACGTGTGTAGTGTGACTTTCCAGCCACCAGGTCCAGGACTCAAATCATGGTCTGCCATGTAGAAATCTAGCACCTTAACACCATGCCAGTTGTTGACCCCTTGGATAATTTTTTGATTACTGATTCGTAGGTATTTTGAGATTGTTTTTTTGTTAAATCAGTGTTTGCAATTTGTGTGCCGTTAGGAATTTGTCCATTTTTATCTAATTTGTTGACATGGAGTTCATAATATTCTCTTCAAATCCTATTTCTTTTTACTCTTGATGGTCGGGTCCTGAAACATAATATATACTTCAGTAATAAACTGAAGTACTAGTTGTAGTAACATTTCGAGTAAACTGATTAGCTGTCAGCTACCAAACAGATCAGTTGGGTCCCTCTCAGGACTCTACTGTCCTTCAGTAGGCTGTCAAGGATTATCAAATTAATGGTTTCAACCATTAATAGGTTAACGTGTTGTACGCATTGTAAGCTCTCTGTAGGTAGTGTCTCCCACTGTCCTTCCATAATCACTTCCATCTTGGTCTATATCATTTTTTCTCATTAGGAATTTTCAAATTAAAACTTTTAGTAGGTCCTAGAATTGAGTTTCCTTCCTGAGTTATTTGTAAGTCTTAGGACCTAATAAGCAGGGTGATACAGTATTTGTTAACAGCAGTGTTAAATCTTGTGTATACCTTTCCATGTATTGCTTCTAGAAAAAATATTTTAGTGAGAAGTATAAACAATTATAAACTTTTCACTTTGATAGATCTGCAGAAAGCTTAAAGGATCAGGATGGCATTATTACTGAACAGAATGTTAATGTAATGTCTCAAACCGGTGTAAATACATGCACGTCACCAACAGAGTCTAACTTGGATTCAGAAGAGCCTAAGACTTCAGTTTTGGAGGAAAGGTATGCTTGCATTCTAAAAATCGTAGGATTTATTCACTATATTAGTTACCGATTGCTTTGTAACAGGTTACGCCAATACTTAATTTTAATTTTGTTACTGACTTGCAGATATAAACTGTTCCATAGTTTTTGTGGATCAGAAATCTAATTGAGGCTTAGCTAACTAATTCTGGCTCAGAGATAACCAGGAGGTAGTAATCAAGATTTTTTTCGGGCTGCTGACTGGTCTTTCTTGCTGGCTGTTGACAGTAGATCTTGGTTTCTTGCCACGTGGCTATCTCCACAGGGCTCTTGAGTATGGCTAACCTTCCCTAGGTTTGGTCTCA